ACGGTGCCTTAAAAACAAGGCGGTGGGTCACGGCGTGGTGCCATGGGCAGGAAAACAGCTTGTCAGGAGCTGTGTGTTTTGCCAGGGACACTGTGAGGTGGGACTTCAGCCTGGAGAGCTGCTGTGGAGAGCAGGTATGGAGTGGAGGCCCCGGGAGCCTGAGCTTGTCTTGTGGGCACCCGGTATCAGAGCCTTGGGGAGTGCTCGGGCTGTAGCAGGGCTGCCCTGCTCTTTGTTCTTGCCCTGTTGCTGAATCTTCACTCAAGAAATCTGGCTTTTGGCCCAGCTCTCCTCTTGGCAGCTTTCCTGTCCTTGTTGGCAGCACCCTGCCCAAGGAAAGAGGCAACCAGAGGCTTCTGGCTTCCCGAGGGCAGAAGTACCCAGGTAGGCAAGGAGGGGAGCAGCACAGCTTGATGGTGCATCTGTGGCCCAGCATCTCTTTTCTTCCCTCTGTTATCTCCTCCCCCTGGTTGGGCTGGTGTGTTGGCAGTGCCACCACGGGCCCAGAGCACAGTCCCTGCAGCCGCAGCCTGGTTCTGCTCTCCTGGGCACATCAACGTGCGCTCGCAGCCCAGAACCCACCCGTGCCCTGGGCTGCAGCCAGAGCAGGGGGGCAGCAGGGCCAGGGAGGGGATTCTCCCCCTCTGCTCTGCTCTGGGGAGACCCCCCTGCAGTGCTGGGGCCAGCTCGGGGCCCCCAACAGCAGAAGGACACGGAGCTGCTCGAGCGGGGCCAGAGGAGGCCACGAAGATGCTGGGGGGGCTGGAGCAGCTCCCCTGGGAGGCCGGGCTGAGAGAGTTGGGGGGGTTCAGCCTGGAGAAGAGAAGGCTCCGGGGAGACCTTCGAGCGGCCTCCCAGGGCTTAAAGGGGGGGAAAGGGAAGGTGGGGGGGGAGTCTGGGTCAGAGGGTGGGGGTAGGATGAGGGGTGATGGTTTTAAACTGAAAGAGGGCAGATTTAGATGAGATACAAGGAAGAAATTCTCCCCTGTGCGGGGGGTGAGGCGCTGGCCCAGGGTGCCCAGAGCAGCTGTGGCTGCCCCCTCCCTGGAAGGGTTCAAGGCCGGGTTGGACGGGGCTGGGAGCCCCCTGGGCTGGGGGAAGGGGGCCCTGCCCGGGGCGGGGGGGTTGGAACTAGGTGATCTTTAAGGTCCGCTCCAACCCAAATCGGTCTGTGATTGGGGGGGGGGGGGGGGGAGGGTGTGTGGGGTGGGCTGTGTGAGCCGTTTCTCTGCCTTTCAACACCTCGAGTGGGCGAGGTGGGGAAAGGGGCTTCCACTCCCCCACCCCCCCCCGTGCCGCGGAGCGGGGTGGGGGCCGTCGCCGCGGTCCCGTCCCCCCCAACCCCGTCTGCTCCCATCTCCCGGGGGATCCGGGGCAGCGCGACATCCCCCCCCCCCCCCCCCAACCCCCCCGCCCTCCTGCTCTTTGTCTCTGCTGCGCCGCCCCCGTTCGCCTTCGCTTCCCCTTTGTTGGCTGCCGGAGCGCTCGGGAGGGGCGAGCTCGCCCTCCCCAGCCCCGTCCCGTTTGCCCCCCCCCACCCCCCCGGCAACTCAACCCGCGGCGGGAGGGGAGCGTGGGGTGTGTGTTGGGGAGACACGCCGGCCCCCGCGGGGCAGAGGAGCGGGCGGGGAAACTTCAGGGCGTGGGGCGGGCGCTCACGCGTTTTCTCGGGCTTGGGCTCCTTCCTTCGTGGCTCTGTTGTCTGATGCTGCGCGGCCCTTTTGCCACGCGTGGGGTGAATTAGGTCTCCGAGCTCGGGCTGCGCACCCACCCACCCGGGGGGGGGGGGGGGGGGGGCGGCCGCCACTCCCCATCGCTGTCACCCGTGTCCTGCCGCCTCTCCATGCCGGGCTCCGCGGGGAGGTGGAATCTCTCCGGGAAGGACTGGCATGTCCCAGCGGCGTGAGGAGGGGAGCTGGCCTGTCCCGGCCATCACCGTGGCAGTGACCGTGACCGTGCTGGTGGCTCTCTGCCTGCGAGGTGACAGCCCGCCGTGGGGGACAAGCCGGGCTGCGGCCCCTTCTTGCTCACCGGAGGGTTGCGAGGGGGCCGGAGAGCTGGCGCCCAGTTTGCTCGCGGGGAAACGGCGGCGAGGGAGTGCTGTGCCCCGGCTGCCCTGGAGGGAAGCGGAGCCGAGCGGGGATGGATGTGCAGCGGCTGTGAAAGGAGCCTTGGCGTGGAACGGGGAGCTCCTGCCCTCGCTCGGGGCGTGGGCCGACTGAGCAGCACCCTTGGGCTGCTCCCGGTGCTTGGCTGTTACGGGGGGACCTGCCCCGGAGAGAGGGGGAGAAGCCGGCGAGCGTGGGAACGCCTGCCCCGGAGGAGACGCGTGGAGAACGGAGGGAGCTCGGCGTTCCTGGAGCAAGGCTGAGCGAGGAGCTGGGAGGCAGCCGCACGCCGCCGGGGTGGTGAGACCTCCCCTCCCGTCCCCGCCGAGAGGATACGGACGTTGCCGAGGCTGCGAGCCTGGGAGGGGTCCCATGCCGGCACCCCTCGCATCGTCCCCGTCCCTGCCCTGCTCTCGGGAGCCAGCGCGTGTCAGTGCTGCTGCAGCCCCCACCGTTCCCACGCCGGTAGCAGCTCGCCCCCGACCCGGTGGGCTTGGTGGCAGAACTTGAGCTCTCGGCACTTTTGCGTGGGGTGGGGTGTTGTTTACTTTGCTTTCTGCGGGGCAGGTGCGGATTGACACCTTCGGGGCTGGAAGGGGGGGGATTGCTGAGCCCAGGACTGCGCACGTCCCTCTGGAGCGGGCTCGGACCCGACCCTTTGGCTTGTCCCTCTGCGATGGCAGATGTGGGGACAAAGTCTTGCTCCTGAGGGTGCCCGCGGCCCGCCCTGCCCTCCTGCGAGCAGAGGATGGGAACCTCTGGGAAAACTTAGGTCTTGCAGCTGCCGAAGACAACCAAGGAGGAGGAGAAGGAGGAGGAGGAGGAGGAGGAGGAGGAAGAGGTAGCCTCGTGGCTACTCTGCCTTGGATGGATCGGCGGCAGGTTGAGCTTTGGCCCGCAGCGTGACGGCTGAGCATGACGGCTTGCCAGTACCCCATGGCGCCGGGGGCCTTGGAGCGGGACCGAATGTACCAGCACAAGGTCTCCTTGGTGGTGCGGTATTTCATGATCCCGTGCAACATCTGCCTCATCCTCCTGGCCACCTCGACGCTGGGATTTGCCGTGCTGCTCTTCCTCAACAACTGTAGGTGTCCCGGGGTGCGTGGGAGGAGCAGGGGAGGGAGAGGCCGGGGTTAGGTCAGCCGGTGTGCTGGCATCGCACCGGCGTGGGGAAACCCTCCCCAAAGCTGCCAGCCACCCCACCCTGCGCCCGGGTGCTCATCGCTTGCCTGCTGCTCTCTGGGGAGAAGCTGGGGAGGTGACAGCCCGCTCCGCAGCTCTGCCCCACTTTTCCCCGAGATGATGTTGGCCCAGAACGGCGGAGCGGAGCTGCGAAGGCGGGCGTGCGTGGGCCAGCCCCAGCTCCCCACCGTGCATGGTGTCAGCTGCGCCAGCACCCTCTGCAGCCCGTGTCCTATCCCTGACCCCCCCCTCCCCCCCCCCCCCGCTGAAATACTGCGTGTCCTGATCTGCTGCTTGAGGTCTGAGTGTGGGTGATGCTCCTGGGGTGTGTGTGGGGGGGATCTCGGTGGGGCTGTGTGGGAGGTGGGGGGCAAAAGATGGGCTCCTGTGAGTCCTGCCTGGATGCTCCCCTGTTACAAGCAAACTGCCGAACCCTGGGGTCCCGTCAGTGTATGTGACGGGTGGGAGATGTGTCTCCTCAACTGCTCCAGGACCCCTGCTCTCTATACACCCTCTTGCTCTGAAAAATCAGCAGAGGTTTGGGGCAAGACAGAGGAGTTTTCCCTGAGGTTAGGCTGTTGATGGGATCCCTGGTGTGGCTGAGTAGATCACACACTTGGGTGTGGGTACGTCTGCATATTGCCGGCTGCTCTAGTCACTGCGTTCTGTTGCCTCATCCTTGTCCAGGTGCTCACCCTCCCAAGGCCTGGCTTTCTCTAGGTGCAGCCTGTGGAGGAAGACTCCATCGTGCGGGGATGTCTTTGACCTCCTCGATGCTGGAAATTGCCAAACACCTGCTGTGAGAAAAACCTTTAGAGGGCAGGCAAATCCTCCAGCCTAGCTTTGGGATGCACTGTTTCCTCTGATATGTGTGTGGTTAGAAGATTAAGCTGCATAAAACTGTAGAAGGCAGGAAAAAATAATTTAAAAGAAATACTGGTGGGAGCAAGAGGTGGTAGGGAAAGAGCCTGGCCCGTAAGGAGTGGTGTGCCCTCTGCCACTGCCTGGCTTTGCTGCCCTGGGCACATCACTTAATAGAGAGCAGAGCTCAGTTTGACACAGGCTGCAGGGTGTTTCCCACTCAGGATGGCAGGGTCTGTGAAGCCAAGTGCCTGAGTGGAAGTCTTCTCACCCCGCTGCTTCCTCAGGGGTCACCCAAGTGTAGAGGGCTGGCTGGTGGCAAGGCTGTGCCCCCTTGCTCTGGGACCCGTGGCCGTGGGAGTTTACACCTTCTGCTGCCCCAGACCCCTTCTTTCCCCCCCTCTTTGCGTCCTTGCCGTGGAGGCTGCTGTTCCCCACCGCTGTCCTGCTCACCCCAACCGACTCGCTGAGTTGGTGCCCGAGAGGCGACGCGCAGCGCGATTTGCATCGCGGCCCCGGTGAAATGGCACACGGCGGGCTGAGGCAAGCCCCAGCCCTGCCAGGCACAGGAGGGCTGCTGCCAGATCCCAAGCCAGAGATGCTCCATCGATACAACTGGGAGACCTGGGGCTCCTGGCTCCTGTTCCTGCTGCTCCCTTCTTGCTGCGGGACCTCCCGGGTGTTCCCTGGGTGGTGTTGCCTGCTTGTGCAGGATTTGTGTGCTGAAGGAATGAATTGCTGGCCCAAAAGCTGCTGGGGAGCTGTGGACAGAGGTCGGGGGGTGCGTGATGAGGAGAAACTGCAAAAGGGAACTGCTGATAGCCCTGTGTTTTTTTTATTTCTTTGCAGACAAGCCCAATAGTTACTTTACTCAGACGCCGCCGACGCCGCGAGATGGTAAGTACGCCGTCGCCCGCTGGAGCTCGGTTCCTGTGCTGAGGATGCACTTGAGAGCAAATTGCTTGAGCCTCTCGTGCTTCCTGCAGCTGGCGGCCGAGCGGCGCATCCTGACCCAGTGATCTATTTTGCAGCCAACTGGCTGCTCTCCGTGCCCGCAGCAGTACCGCAGCTCGCTCCTGCTCCTGCCCTGGGGGTGCAGGAGCGTGGCCGTCCGGGGTGAGGAGGACTGTCCCTCATTGCTCCCGAGGAGGCACAGCAGCCCTTTTTCTGCAGAGGGTTTCCTTGGGCGGCTGTGGTGGAAATGGTTGGAAAGGGAGGTGGGATCTTCTGTGTGCTCCAGCCGTTTGCAGAGCGTTGCTGATTCACCCGCTGAGGCTGTGGAAGGGAAGGGACTGGAGAAAGGGACATTAAAAGCAGCGGTGTTGAATCCAGTGGCTATTCTGTTTGTCCCCTAAGGATCTTCCTGGCTGTCGGCAAAAGGAGGGGGGAAGCAGAAGGAGGTGCAGAAAGGCTTGCTACCCTGCAAGCACAGCGCAAAAAAATAAAAGCAAGTGGCACGTGTGCCCATGGTATGTGGCAGAGTTGGAGGTGAGAGAAGGACCATGAGAAGGTGATGGGCTGTTAGCGTGAGGAAATAGCCAGAAACAGTGTTCTGCCTCCTTTGGTCCCTCTGTTATTTTTGGTGTAGCATCAGAGCAACCCAGGGGAGGACAGTGAGAGAGGTGACTGCGTTCAGCTTGCGGGGCCTGGAACTCGAGGCTGCATCTCTCCGCTGTCTGGGCCCCCGATGTCCTCCCTGCTGCCCCCCACCCTGCCCTGAGAGCAGGCGTGGGCCAAGCAGGGGGGACACAGGCCTGTTTGGGGGAGCGATGTGGACATGGTGTTTCTCTGGGACCCTTAGCAGGTCTTGCTGGGCAAGGAGTGGAGTGGGTTGTGCTGTCTCGTGGAAGCGAGAGGTTAAATGGGCACAAAGCAGGTAGGAATCTCTCCAGTGCAAGTATGTGGTATGTGGGCTGAGCAGCTCAGGGAGAGGTGATTTTTGAGGCTAGCAGAGGTTGCTGAGATGCTGTTGGCTGTTTGTTAAATTACTGCTTCTGCTGTGCAGACAAAGTTGAATCATCCCAGCCCATCCAGTCTTGGATCAGTCAGTTCCTAACACTGTATAAATGCTACCAAAAAAAAATCTGTTGGGCTTGTGCTCCAGCTGGCAAAAGGTTTCAGCTTCATCAGCATCAGGAGCAAAATGGAAGTTGGTGTTCGGCTGGACATTAGGTATCTCCACTGCCCTGGCTAGAAACGGTGTGGGCATGTAAATTCTGGGGGGGTGTAACGCAGCCCTCCTCCCTTTCCCATCCTTGCTGGGGTCCCGCAGGTTTCTGCTTCTGGGCTCTCCTAACAATTCCCTCGCCACCTCCAGATTTTCACCTTGCCAGTCATGAGGCAGTCTGGCGCTTTCCTCATCCTCTTCCAGAGTTATTGGTCCTTCCCTGGCAGAGCAGGTGGGACAACGATGGGGTTTCCTATGGATTTGCATTTTCCCTGGACCTATGGCACTCACCTATGGAGTGCCTCTCGCCTATGGATTCCTTGGTGTCTGACGAGCAGTGTACTCACCAGCACCTCATACCTTTTCTCTGGGCTTTCTAAAGCCTTCTGGTTTCACAGACCTGTAGGAACTTTGCGTTTTGAGGCCACGCTGTTATCAGTTAATGGCTTTAAAAGCTGTTGGATGCAGGCAGGCAAGCATATGCTCAGATAATGTCATCATAGGAGCTTTATTTTCTCTGAAAATCAGGCTTAAAATGCCCTGCTTTCTGCTGGCAGACTGTTCAGTCACCTTCCCCAGCCTCCCTAGTTTCACATGCACAGATAAGAACCCAGCAGAAAACAGCAGCCAATTAATAACACGTTTGTTTCTTTCTTTCTTTCCTTCTCTGATGGGGGTGGGGAAGGAGGCGGGGGAGAAACGGATGCTAGATAAAATGTGATTAATCTATAATTGGACCAGAGAAGACATCTAAAGCAAAAATAAAAATGAACGTAGGTGTAACTCCTAGCTTAGGGCTCCAAAATATTAGCAGCCCAGCCCATCCAGATGACATACTCCAAAAGATCTCTGGTCCCCACAGGAGATGGAAAACTACCACCCTTGGTGGGTTGCCAAATGAGGTGCCTCTGTTTTTTTTCAAGTTTAAGACGGTGCAAACGCCTCGTGTTGTCTTTGGGAAGTGTTTGTGGGCAGAGGGGAGCAGGGGGGGCATGGGGAAAAGGTCCCCCCCGGGGTGAAGGGGCTGGTCCTCACTGGTTTTGCTGTGCTGGAGGGACCGGCAGTGTTCATCGCCTGGGCTGGCACGGAGGCTCAGCTCTTGTCCTGTGCTTAGTCCGCTGCCTTAGACGGGGTTACGCATGTCCGTGTAAAGTGCTGGGATTTGGCTGAGGTTTGCTGAGCCAGGGCCGTGGCTCTCCTGTCCTAGGTTTGCCTCTCAGCCTGGCTTTGGTGGGACAAGGTGTCGTGATAGTGAGAACTGTGCCCGGGAGGTGCTGGGTGTAGAGATGCTGAGCCCTCCTCCCTTCCCCGAACCAGCTGCATCGAAGAGGGACAGGCAGGGGAGGGTCTTTTCCTTGCCAAACCATCTTCCATTCCCCCGGCGGTACCTGGTGGGGTGGCAAAGGCGGCAGGTGAGGATTTGGTGGGTCTCGGTGGGTGGTGAGTGCTCTGGGATGGGGGCTGCGTCCCAGCACAAGAGTGTGACAGTACCACAGGGCCCCTCGATTGCGTCTTCCCCAGCTGGGCTTCTTGAGGATTGCCACCTCTCTTTTTGGGCCCAGCTCCTCGTTTTCTACAAGCCCGCGCAGCTCCGCGGTGAGCGGTGGGTTGCCACCAGCTGGCAGCCTGCACCGGGAGCCAACAGATCGCTGCCCACCGGCACCAGCAGAGGGTCTGCGACGCGGGATTTCTGTCGGGAAACCCTGCGACTGGAAGGCGTGCTGTGGTCCTTTCCCCTTCCAAACGGTGGTGCGAAGCTAGACAGAAATCGTTGCCTGCCCTGGCAAGGTCAGACCTTGGGTTTTGTCTGAAGAAAGTGGCTTCCCGCATCTCGGGCATCTTTTCTGCAAAGGCCTGTCCCGTGTATGCGAAAGGTGCCGCGGCCACGGCCGCTCCCCCCAGTGCTCTGGCGATGCTGGAGGTGAAAGACTTTGCCAGCTAGCAGGGAGGCGTCTCTAATTAGCACTCATGTGCTATTTATCTCTTCCTTGTCTTCCAATACCAATTTCTACCCTAGAAAACTCTTCAGCCACACATTGATTTATAGAGTGGTCTCTGCTTCATTTTGAAACAAGGCCATTAGTGCTGTTAACTCCCTGCTTTCTCCCAAATCTCCCCCGCCGCTGGCATTCCCGCAGCTGGGCGGGGGATTGTTAAGCTCTGCAGAGTTTTAAGGCCTGGCTGACTTAAAATGCAGCGCTCCAGGGAGGCCGGTGCCTTTTCCCCAGCTGAGGGACTGGCCCGTGGCATCCAAGCTGGCTAATTCTTCTCCTTTCTTGTTCTTGGTAGGCAGGAGCTGGGGAGTGTCTGCGTGGGGGGCTGGAGAAGGGGTGGATGTTGGCTCAGCTGCGGCCCCCCTGGGGCAGGAGTGCTTTGGAGGGGGGTTCCAGGTGGGGGTGCAGGGTGGGCTGTGCCTTCCTGCATCCCCTGGGGTGAAAGAAGCGGTGGGGGAGGATTTAGAGGATACCTCCCCTGCCTCCTCACTCCTCTCATCACAGATGAGAGGTTGGATTCCCGTTTGTTTGCAGCATCCCTTGGTGGAGTTGCGTGCAGGAGGCAAGATTGCTTTTGTTGTTTGCTCTGCGGAGGGCAGGGAGAACAATAAATCCTCTCGGAGCTGTGAAGCCAGGCGCATGGACCAGGCACCGGGTTCTGGGGGTCAGGTCCCTGTCACCCCTCCCCAAGAAGCCCTCGTGGTGCAGCACAGGCTCGGGCAGCCTGTTTGGCCCCTGTTGCTGTCACCAGCTCTTTGGTCTGGTTTGAGTTTCTTGCTGGCCCCAGCAGCTTTCTAAGCATCCTAATCTCAGAGCTACATCTTGCTTCTCGAGCCAGCATCCCTCACGGGTGGGGAGAATCAGGACAGCTTGCCAGGCTGGTGGCAGCCAGCCCTTATTGCTGGCATCCGTGCACCTTTGCAGATGTGCTAATGGCACCAGCCAGCTGTGGGTCCTGTCTCTGGTGGGCTTGGAAACATCCAAGAAGGCTGAGAGGGTTGAACACCCATTTTGTTTTGGCGAGCACGGATGGAGTGATGCTGGCCCAACCTGTCGCACCAGGCCGAGGGAGCAGCACTGAGCGCTTATTTATGGATGGATAAAAGCAGCAGTGACGCATGAGATGAGGACATCTGAGAAATTAAATATTGGAAAAATGCTTTCTTGTGCCTGGCAGCCCCATAAATACAGGGTTTGCAGAACTGGTCCAGGCATGGGGTTAGGCAGAGAAAACGCTGGTGCAGGTGGATTTTCAGGTCTGCATGGGGAATCGGTTGGTGGATTAACCCTACAGAGCTCTCAGTCTTTTGCCTGGCTGCTGGGTGCCCTCTCGTTAGCACCCTGTTACAGCTTTGCCTCGCCAGGTCCAGCTCCCAGTCCCCACCAGTGGTTCCCCATGAAGAGACAGCCACCAGCAGCGTTGCAAGGATTGGTTCCCCGTGGCCGTCGCTGAATTCGTTGGGGGGTGAGCAGTGCCGGGTGTTAACAGAGCATCTGACCCATGCTGGGGGGTGATGCCCGGGCGTGGGGAGAGGCTTTACCCGTCTGTGCAGGACTGTGGGGCTCTTCAGCACAAGGTTAAACCTTGCAGTGTGCTGGTGGCGAGGAGCCCGGGGCTGGCTCACACCCCGGGGGACGTGTGCGTGTCCTCCGTAACCAAATTCACTCGGAGCCCTTCCTTCCCCCATCCCTGTCCGAGCGAATACCGAGAGGCAGGCTTGGGCTTTTAGTTTCTC